ACTTGTGTCGTTAAAATTTCGTCGGAACGAAGTTACGGAAAAATCAATTAACAAACGGAGACGTAACAATAGGTTTCAACTGTCTGTATTATTAATATTTAAATTCTAATGTGAATCTATATTTTGAAGTGTCCCAGTTTAACCTTCATCCATGAAAAAAGTTATGTTCCTGAGATAATGCTAAAGAATATACGAACTGAACATAAAATGTAGTGAAAAAATAATTTTTATTACATTTAAAACAAAAACAGCGCGTATATTTGCTTGGCTTCAAAAGATTGTTCTCTATCAGGTCAGGCCCGGCATGGCCAGATGGTTAGGGCGCTCGACTCGCGATCTGCTCGCCCTTTCAACAGTGGGGGCGTTATAACGTGACGGTCAATTTGTTGGTAAAAGAGTAGCCCAAGAGTTGGCGGTGGGTAGTGATGACTAGCTGCCTTCCCTCTAGTTTTACACTGCTAAATTAGGGACGGCTAGCGCAGATAGCCTCCGTGTAGCTTTGCGCAAAATTCAAAACAAACAAACTATCTGGTCAAAAACAAGGGTATACGTTGAGGGTCCGGCAGTAGGATATTCCAAAGCTCACTAAAAATGCATACTACTTAATGAGCTAAAATGACTACTGTTTTTTCATGGATTCGTGAATAAATTTGTCACCTAAATTATTTTATGAAAAATCAGCAAAAGTTAATGAATAGACTGAAAGGGAGTGATATTATTGACCCCGGGGCCTAGTTGGCTCTCGACGCCCCTGGTGGGTGGTGTTGGCTAACTGCCTTATTTCTTGTCTGTCACTGCTAAATTAGGGACGGCTAGCGCAGATAGCATTTGAGTAGCTTTACGCGAAGTACAAAATAAACCAAAAACAAATAAACTTTCTTAAGTAAGTGAGATGTATGTTCTTAACAATAAATATTATTATAGACAATTTATTTATGCCTGTTTTTTACCTCCATAGACATTGTTTTTATGTACCATAATAACTTTTATACGTAGGACGGTAAAACTTAAAAGTAGGATCACAAAATCGATAGATGGTCTTTCGGTTATCTTACTTTTTGTAAAAACCTAGCCGCATTGGAATTCCACAACAAATCATCAGGTAGTGTTAGTGCTTTAAATTCCTAGACATCTCTTTCTCATCTCTCACATAAGTCGTAATCTTTTACTACAATTCAACATTTAAAATGACATCTAATGCCACCAGAGGACGGTAGAAAGAAATGGAGAAGTTGAGCAAAAGTTCGAAACATGTTTCATTCCCTCTTACTAGGATTAAAATGATAATGAGAAGTTCACCGGATGTATTAAACATTAGCCCTGATTCAGTGACACTTATTTCAAAAGCTGCTGTGAGTAGAAATTATCAGTTTCCTTTGGGTTTTGATTTAATGATGTGTTGAGGCTGGCTAAGTCCCGAAGTTGTCAATAAAGCTTTTTTGATACTGCTGTCACATTGTAAAAGGAACACCCAACCCAATATTTGAGTTAACTAAAAGTAAAAGTATTTACATAGATTGCGAGACTGTGATTTATGTGAATTATAATTAATGATTATATGAAATTGATGTAGACCAGGTGTAGTCTACCGTAGTGGCTAGTGGTAGTAGTTACTAAGTTAGGATACAAAATATACCAAGTTCATATGTTTATACTATCGATTTTTATAAAGTGTAAGCCTAATTAAATGTAAAATTATAACTTACAATATAAGAGACATTAAGTATTATTCTTGTATCGCGCCTACGGAATAGAACGTGCAAAGTTAACGTTTACAAATTAAAAGTTTACTGAATTTTTAGTATCAATTAACACCATAACATGTAACACTAACACAGTAATGCTTATTAATTGTATTGATAAAACGTGTTGATTCGAATTTTACTTTTAGAAGTAACATGAATTGATAAGGTGGACACAAGTAATTGTCCCATTTTTATCTACTATAGAAATTGTTTTGGGAAAGTAATAATTAACAACCTCTTAAATTTAACATGAATGCTAATAAAAGAAAGCTAGGTTAAAAGATTCAAAGTTTGAACATAATTTGGAGGTGGATTGGCCCACTTTTTATAGGCATGAATGTTAAATAACAGTCATTTATTGACTTTTAAAATAAATACCATGATAATTTTTGCATTAATCAAACATTTTTTATTGTTAATAACTTGTGTGTGTGTATACTGAGGAATTTCAGTTAACATTTCATTTTATTGTCTTACTACTATAACAGTATATACAAATAATAACATGTAGATGTACAAAGTTGCTTATTATCTTTCATATGGATGTTTAAAAATTTCTTGAAAAAGTAGGATATTTTGAGAAAAATATATTTTCAATTAATATAAGCTCAAAGGCAATATGATGGAAGTTCATCTAGCCTATTGAGTTTAACCTTCATCCATGAAAAAAAAAAGTTATGTTCCTTTCTTTTTACTCCACAAGACATACATAATACCTTGTATTTAAAATGTATAATTTAATACATATGTTTGTCTACAATTTTAGTTACAAATGATCACCTAGGTGATCTCAGATGATCTGACAGAAATTTAATATATAAACATCCCAGGCCACCTCTGCATTTTCTGAACCATGCTGTCACCAATGCAAGTTAAGCTTAACCTCGGTATATACTGATCTAATATATTTTTATGAATTCAAACTGATAGCAAAGTACACATCATCAGACAATCCATTCAATAAGTTGATAATTATAGCAAAAGTACTTTTGTATAAGTACAAGATTAGAATGGGTATACATGTCATATATTGCTCGTAATATATAATTTTTTTAATTCTGCTGCTAGTGTTTTCATTTAACCTCTCAAATATGATCTTACAAGCAATTTGTCTAACTCCCTGACAGTTTTCCAACCTTAAATAAAGTTTATTTAGTTTTTCACTTTTCAATGCAAAAAAACAAAAGAAACACAGTTAAGTCTTTAAAACATTTTGTAATACATGTATCTTATACTTGTAAACTAGATATCATTTAATAACTCTTCTCTGCATCCTTTCATGCATGCCAGTAACGGTTCTATAACAAACAGACCAAAACTGAGCACATTATTGTAAATCTCATTGTAGTTCTATAGAAGGTGACAACAGTCTTTACTCTTTAAGTTAGTTTATAGTTTCTAGAAACCTGTTAGTTTTTTCACATTTGGCTTAAAGAATCAAGCTGTTGTAACTAATCAAAACCAAATGCTTATCACACAAGATAAGTCTAGATCTTTATGAATTAAAGAAACATTCTCAGTAACATCACTGTCAGCATTACCCAGTATCTTAGAATCATCAGTAAGCTTGAATCCAAACTACTGACCTAAATAATGAATGAAAGGACTCAAAATAGGCTCTAGAGAAACTGAGTGCTTTTTTGTTAGTAATAGATACCCAGTTATCACTACCCTCTGCTTCATAAATAGAATTCATATTTTCTATACAGTTTTTACAAATGCATGTACCATAAGTTTCTATGTAACCTTTTGTACAGGAGCTTATGAAAAGTTTGTTGAGTGAAGACGTACAATATTAATAGGGTGCTTTCATGTTAAAAAGCAAAAGCAATAGACATCATTGCTTTGCTTGCGATAACTCAAACTAATAGACTTGTAATTTTCCAGCTTCTCCTTAAATCTTGTCTTTTTAATAATAGGAATCATAATAACAATTGTTAGAAATTTTTATTTAGGCTGGTAGTATTCCACTTGAGCTTGAAGCCTTGCTAGTTCAATTGATAGAACAATGGTGGAGTGTCAGAAGTGCTCAAGCCACAGGAAAAGTACATTTCACAAGTTTCAAATATTCCAACTTATAACCTTGAACTGTGAACCCCATATAGTTCTTCTACATTAAAAATGTATTTGTAATATGGAAAATTTATTCTACTAAAATGATTACGAGTTCTTTAGCAGAATTTGATTCAAAGTTAGGGAGGTAGGAGATGCCAATATACCTGTGATTACTTGATGATGAATCAAGCCACTTAGTCAGATCAAAACACATGCTAGGTATTAGTCAGGATAACTGTACCATGACAGTAATGTGAGGGTGGGATGGGGGTTATAATGATCAAGAGAGAGAGAATTGTTTGAGGTTAAAGTCCTGAGTTGTAAAATATCTCAAAACACTAGCATGAGCTGAGGATCTTGGATTCAACTAATTGGGACAAGTTATGTTCATCTTCTTTTAATTATTACACTGTGTCAAGCGAATCTGCAAGATTCATTAAAGCTCTGTCACTAGTTGCATAAATTCTTAAACATTTTTAGGATAAATGTCATTTGGCTTATGATTTTCGCAGTTTTTTAAACATTCTAAAGATTTCAAAATAATTGTTTTCATTAACAAACCCATAAAGGAATTCTTGTTCCCAGCTTTGAACAAATTAAAAAGGTTTGAAATTTTATCATTTGTTTCTAGATTAAATACACCAGTAAATACTTATTTTCAGTTGCTGTATAATAATGTTCCTATTATAAGTCTTAAAGGTTCAGTATTACTCATAAGTCTCCATTTACGATGATTTGAGAGAATATTATGTTATAAATATATATATTACTTGTATATGCTGGGTATAAGAAACTTAACCTTCGTAAGTTTCCTTCATGGTGTGTAGAAAATTTATTTGTATTAGTTACTCTGAATTTTGTATATGAAGCAAAATCTCATAGAGCAAAATTACTAAACCTTTGTATAATTTTTTTATGTTAAAATCCTGACAGGAACTTCTCGTAGAACATCTAGCCAAATTAGCCCATCATCAGAGCAAAGATAAAACAAAAGTGGACTATGAAGATGTAGCCGAAGTGGTTGCTTCTCACGAGTCGCTTGATTTCTTGCAAGGTAATGGTACTTAGAAATTGAATTTTATTGATTGCTATTAAAAGGATGAAAGCTTATTTGTTCTGAAGTGAACAAACTGAGTTGTATACAATGGTTGTAGAACTTTTTAAGGCATTCTATGAATAAAAACACTTACGTGCCTAGTACAAATGTTTCACTTGAATGGCAGATGAAACTATACATAAGTTACTGGAGAAATACCTGGGTTTCGATTCTTTCTGTTGTCACAAAAAGAAAATCATCAAACTCATTATCTTTTATGACTAAAAATTCATGAAATGTAATAAATGTAGAATATTGTAATAGTTTTAAAATTCAAGTGATAACTAACATTTGTTCAAACACTTTCATTGAGGATGACTATTTCAACCAAAGCCTTGTGCAAAACCTTTTTTTTTTTAATTTTTTAATATATTTCTAAATTATATAAGCTTGAATTTTTGGCCAACAATCACTTACATGTATGCCATTTTAAAATTCAGTACAACCTAGAGCATGCTCTTATCAATTATCATATCATATAGCTGAAGTGAGTCAGTTACTGTCCTATAACCTAAATAAGAATTTCCAAATGCATTAATGTGTTTTGTTATTTACCATTGATAATTATTAGGGGGGGTGTGTAAATCATGAACTGAAGTATCTTAGAGAATTGTTCTCACTTCTTTACCCTATTAACAAACTAAGAGCATGTATCCCATTATTTTATACATACACACACACACAATTTTTTATCTAGACACATGGTAATGTGTTGAGTGGCCAAAACAACCTGCAGGACATGTTGTGTATTATTATAGTTGTGACAATTTAGCAGTTTTCCACTTTCTGTAGCTTGGATTGTAGTAGTCCAAGCTATCACTTATTTCAGTGGATGTGCTCTACTGGACCCTTACTTCACATACCAAATTTCAAGGTAATACATTAAGAAATACACAAGATATAAAATCTCCAATTTTGATTTAATTTCTTCCTTTTTCATTCTTCGCACTGAAAGTACGGAAAATTTATTAGATAGGAAAACATACTTAACTTTCATCAATGTTTTTCAAATTTGGTACTCTAATACATCTTTACAACCTACAATTAGGTATCAGATTTGGTCTAAATATAAGCCACACATACAAATTTATTCAACAAAATCACTCAATTTTGACCAAAGTTTTGCACATGCCTATGCAAATAGTCACGTGAGTTACGAGTGGATGGTTATTATTCATTGCCAACTTTAAGCACAAATTTACTAAATTTTATTAAATTCTCCTAATTAAAGAGCATTTAGCATCACATGATTTTAGCTTAAGCAATTAGCATAAATAATGATGCTTGATATGGCTGCACCAAGTGCATGGGGGTGATGACAAGAAACTGTTAATCTGGTTTCCATGGCATTACTATAAAGGAAGTTATTAATAC